GTGGTCATGTATCCACATTGAAGATTACTGGGTTAAAATTGCTGGTAAACTAAATTTGATTTTTAATGTTCAATTTAATATTAAGCCTCAAACTTTGCTCCTTGGTTTACTCAGTCCTCAGCTAAAGGGCTTTTATAGAAGAAGGCTGTTCAGTATCCTCACGTTTGCTGCCCAGAAAAACATATTACTAAAATGGATTGATAATACTCCACCTTCAGTATTAGGATGACATAAAATAATCTTTGACCTCATACCAATGGAGTATTCAACATACAGGTTCAAGTGTAAAGGTGAGGATTTTTTGGAAATGTGGACACCCTTCTTTAGATATAGTGGGTACAAGACTTGCAAATTCTGTACTAAAGGGAATGATGGATTACAGCCCGGAAAACAGACAAAGGGATATTTTTGGGTCATGGGGCAGAACCTTTTCTTTTTTCTTTTAAATGTATTTAAATTTTTTATTTGATGCCCTTTATTTTATGCATTGTTTTCTAATCTTGCTCAAAAGACATTGCTTTTAATGTTAAAACATTTTCAATGTAAAAGAAAAAGAGGTGCTGCCTCACTGTCAACTGTGGTTATTATACACTGTTTCCTGCACAAGCTTGGATGCCGTGGCATTCTTCGTGCCATACTTGTGGTTACAGGCATAATTATTTTGTCTATAATGTATGGGGTGTGCCATGTGTCTGAGATATAGATGAGAAATTTAATTTGTGGCCAATGTGTGTTGTTTGTTCTGTTGTACTGTTTGAATTGTCTGTATGTGTGTTTAAAAGTTAAAAGTACAATTAAAATAAAAAAAAATAAAAAAATAAAAAACTATAAACATGAAGTGAAATGATAATTCTTCTTGTATAGTTTGCTTTTTAGTATGTCTACATCAATGCAATTGATTGTAAAATGTGCTAAACATTTTAAAGCATTCAAACATTTATTTTACTAAATGTAAAATAAGATGTTCTGAAATAATCATAATTATCATCTGTTAATGTCTCGGTGTCAAATGACTGCAGAGCAACAAGTACTAACAACTCTTGCTGTGAACAAATGACTGTCAGAGAAACCACTAAACAACAATAGTAAGCATGGCGACTGACCAGAGAATTTTAAAAACAGAACCACACCCAGTCATTAGAAGATGGACCACAAACAGCAGCGTTTCTGTTTTTAACGCTGTGACGGCTTTAAGACTTCAAATCCTCACAATCCAGAGACAGATGATGAGAAAAAAACAGACAGATCCTCCCTGCTCAAAGCCTCAAAACCCGTCCATGACACCCCAGTGTGATTCACACACATTATCACACAAAAACACAGACAAGACTATTGCCTCACGCGGCTTTATACCCAGGATTAGCGGTCAACTTCTGGAAAACACAACCAGAAGAAATGGGAGTTCTTTGCTTACACACTTTTTTCCATAACTGCACATTTTACAGAGTTCCCAAAATACACTGTGGTCTGAGTGATGATGACCACTATGTATTTCAAGAGTGATGATGTGTGCAGCCCTCATTGTATTTAATCCATCCCTCTTCAGTTACTTTTCTTATTTTTGTATTTCAACAGTAAACTAATATCTCGTTTAATAAGAAATGGTTTATTTCACAGTCTCTAACCCCGTTTGTGACAAATCTCAAGAAATTCTCACACTTTCCACACATATCAAGAAAACAATAAAGACCCTAACACATCGAGCAGACGGCAAAGAACTAGTGGCCAAGGCAGACTGTGGTGTTGCCTAACGGCGCCTTTGTCTTCCAAAGAAGTTGCACTTGAACACACCGCAAAGACTATGTGAGAGGAAATACCTCTCCATGCCAGCAGGTGGCGCTCTGTAATCGTCATTCCAAAAAGGGGAAACTGGAAGAGGACTGAGAATGCAGATATAAACCGTTTTTATGAAATAAGAAGACCATTTTTACACCACTGTCCATCACCACTCATAATATAGGTACTTCTAATCCAGAATAAGGTTAGCTGAACAGCCAATCAAGAGTGACTCCTCTCACCAACCGCGCCAACCGACGCCGCTTCAATTTGTTGAATCGGCCGAAAAAAAGGCAGACGAGTGCCGACGGGTATCTCCATGGTGTGTCAGGGCCTTAATGCCTCCAAGGTTTAACAACCGAAGTATGATGGATGTTCTTTGTGCTAATTTTGCAAATGGATTAACTGACAACAAGGTTAGTTATCATATTTATGTGAAAAGAATGGAAACAAACAGAATTACCAAGATTATCAGTTTAACACTCACATTGAATTCCAATACTGCCAAATATGTAAAATATATTCAGAGAAGATGAACCTTGCTTTATGAACTATCCAGTGTAGTTTTCCACAGAATGTGTGTTTGTAGAAGTTCACCAACAACCAGGTACACAAAAACACAAACACACACTGAAAAACTGACAGTGCTGAGTTAGTGTTTAGATTGATGGTGTGGTGAGTACATGTGTGTGTGTGTGAGTTTGTCTGATGGAAAGTGGGTGTGTATGTGCAACTCGTGTTTTAGTGAGTGTGAGGAGGAGGAAAATTTGTGATTGCTCTCGTAACATTTAAATGATGCAACAACCTGCTAGGCGCCTCAGTCATTTTAATTCTCCCAGCTTTCAAAAGGGAATTTCATTCTAGTTGTTTTGTGAAATAGTTAAAAATATATATATATCATATCATATTATATAACATATCATATAAAATATAATATAAAAATAAAAATGTTTTGTTTCCAGTAATTGGAGCTACTTTGCTCTGAGTTGAAAGTGGTAAATTAAGCTTCCTTGTGAAGCTTTGAATCTTAAAACTCCTGTTATGATTTTTGGATGAAAAAAATTGAACTATGTGAACTTGCTGGAAAAAAAATACATGAAGTTTCAGTTTCAACTTGTTCATCATAGAAGTGATTACAAAGGAAGTAACAATGAATGCGTTATTTTAAGGGTACTTTACCACAGTGAAAACAAGCAGTGAGGCTGCACTTCACAGTCTGTTTTAATGAAGAAGAAATTCTTTAGATAGATGTCTACTAAATAAGATGCATCAAAGGACTTACTGATGTAATCAAACCTCAGCCCCAAGCATTGACTTACATGACCTTCAGAGGCTTAATGCTACTTTTTGTGGGTTATTCTGGCTTTTCTCACCGTTTGTAGCTCATGCAGATCCGCAGAGGAGAAAGTCATTACCATCACTTGGAGTAGTGTGAGTGTCCTGAACCTTGTGATGTGCAACCGTATACTTCATCCCTCCAACGGCTGCACAGGCACTGGAGGTTTTACGAGCAAGACATACTTTTACTGGGAAGGGTCATGTGACTTGATTTCAATCACAGAGATGAAGTCAAGCTTTTCAAAAAAAGATAACGTGTTCATCGAACAAATATGAAAAACAAGCAGCCAGATAAAGCTAATACATTCAGTAAACAACAGCAGCTCTGACTCCCACTGCGAGGATCTTCTATTAAAGCTGATCACAAAGCGTGTTCACATCACAAATTAAACAGTTTGATTTTTAAACGGTACAACAAAATCGATGGAGAAGAAGATAATGGAGAGAGATTTTAGAAGAAAAAGCTTCAGACTGCAGGTTTTCTGTCATGAAGAGACCTCCTTCATTAGTGGAGTAACTGGTGATCTGTAACTCTAGCTGCTCTCTCTCTGTCTCTGGGTGCTCCATATTTCATGACTGATGCAGGTTATATAGTTACAGCAGGGCCGAGAGGGGCACGTGTGTGTTTAAGTAAGCGTGCATGCCAAGAGGAAATTTGATGCTGCTCAATCTACGATGAAGGTTCAGAGGTGTCCGGGGGGGATTTTGAGAGTCCCCTCTTGAGAGTGTGTGTGTGTGTGTGTGTGTGTGTTTGTGTGTGTGTGTGTGTCAGATGGGCTTTGGGGGATGCACATCATGTAGTGTGAATCCCTGACAATCTCAGGTAACAAAAAGACACACTACACTTGACCTATAAATGATGGGGAAACTTCCTGGAATTGAATATGCCCATTGCTATTTGTAATAAAAGTTTAACCAAACATCTTTACAAAGGTTGAATAGAAGAGGAGGCAGTGTCAGTTTGTGCAACTCTACTAAGAACAAAATAAGACAAATATGGAAGAATTTAGATAATATGGTGTCTGAAAAAGGTTTTGTATAACACAGCAGTGCTATTTTTAGACACAACATGGTAAGTAAAGTCTTAAATAGTATTAAAAAAACTCCATAAAGCTTAAATCCTTTTTTTACATTTATAAGTTGAGATGAAAATCAGACTGCCGAAATTCTGCAGTCATTCAAACTTTTGTATTCTTCTCATCAGCAACAGCAGCAATGAGTCAGGACAATGTTCACCAGCTTCCTTAAACTGAACCTTTAACAATGATTACAAAGGGCAAACATTGGGCCTGATTATTTAAAAAGTTGAGGGCTATCAATTTTCCACTTAAATGAGTCTGCCTGGCATAAATATTTCTTCTCGTCCAAAAAATAAATAAAAACATTCTCAATTATTATTTCTCCAAATTAATCAGAGATAAAAGACATTCTGACTAAGACAAAACAAAAAAACACGACTTCACTCGTGTGAGTGTGTGGACAGGAAACCGGCAACTACAGAAAGAATGGAGTAGTTCAAACACAAATTCTGCAACTGCTGACTGTACACTGACTTCACATGTGTGTACACGCACACACACTAAAAATGCCCTGTGTTTGACTCTTGTTCTCTCCCCTGATATGAAGTACTGCCTTTGTTTGCTGTCTCCTATTTTTTGTCCATTTGTTGCTCTTAGACATTATGAACAGTACTCATGACCTACTGTTTCTGTCTGACAGTGTGTGTGTGTGTGTGTGTGTGTGTGTGTGTGTTTGGTGGGGGGGGGGACTGACACCCTCACAGTAACAGAACAGGGGTTGTTGAGGCATGCCACATTAACACAAAAACAAGGGGGGAATGCACACTGGTAAACACAAACATGAGAACACACATGCACAACACTCACCTCTAGTGTGGCCGTGCAGCTGACGAGCGTTTTGTCCTCAGACAAATTAGGACAGGAGCTGCTGGACATTTGGAAAACAAAGAGAGAGAGAGAGTCGGTGAAGACTGTCTGGCCTGGCAGAATTTGAGATTCAAAGCAACAGTGGCCATGTGTGTGTGTGGTCAATCAAATCAGGCAGTAAAGAAAGACACTTTCTTTTTATAACTACCGGTACATCTAATGTCTGTGAAAAAGAGCAGTTTCATACATGTGAGTGTACACTAAGTAATTGGGCATTGGCTGGTGTTCACGTGATGAGGCTTAAGAGCAGCATGTGTCTTACTGATCTACTGAACTCACTGTCCAACAGTGTTTCTGTAAATGTATCATCTGTGTGCATTGAAATCCGACTTTAGTGACAGATACATAACTTCTATGACCAAATGGTTATCTTTCTAGAACACAAATCACATGACCGTTGGCCTTTTTTTTTTGTAACTGGAAAACCTGCATCAGTGACAATACTGAAAAGGACAAGGAGTGTCACAACTAGATCAATTCATAAAATGACTCTTTTTAAGTCTTGTGCAAAAAAGAGCAGAAATTTTAAAACACGAAGGCCCAGGATTTTGGATTCCACATAAATGATTGTATAAAAATTGAATTAATCTGACAACTCCCTTGACAATAGCTGAAATACAATGTCATTTAGCAGACGATTTTTGTCCAAAGCAATCTCCACTGGTTATAAAAATAATATCATGATAATTTTACATTATTTATATAGCACCTTTAAAAACACAGGTTTACAAAGTGCTTTGACAAACAGAAAAAACAAGAACAAAGCAAACTAAACCAAACACATAAGAACAGAAACAACAGCAATACTGACAATGCAAAATAGCCAGAACAATAAAATACAATCCAACAGCACAGAACCCAATAAACATATTTAAAGACTTAATATGTGATTTTTCACTCTTAAATATAATAGAAATCAAGTATATCCTCTGAAAATAACTCTGAGTCATGACTGTCTACAATGGGTGTAACACCTGAGTCCCACTGTCTGTGATGTTTTCAGAGTTTTCAGAGTCCTATCTTCAGTTTGTTTACATCGTCAGGACGGCCGGCTGACTCCTCCCCTCACATATAAAAGTAATTTAATTGAGGGACTAGAGAAAAGAAGAATAACATACTGTACTCACTGCTTAACTGTGTTTCTAGATCACGCTCATTTCAGGTAAATTTACATGCAGTGTGAAGATACGAGCATAATAAAGATCGCTAGCATTAGCATGCTAACACAACAATGCAGCACAAGTTGTTTTGGTTTCATGCTGGTGCTCAAGGGCGACATCTGCTGGATCAAAGAATCACATAAAGCCTTTAACACGACCATCGTAAGAACCATTGTAAGAACCCAGGCAATGCAAGAACCCAACAACAGGAGCTGAGACCAAGAGGACCAAAGATTTGAAAAAGATGAAAGACACTAAAAGAGCTAAAGGCAAATAAAAAAAATAGATGACAGCAATGGTTATGCCACTGACAGAAATGTTTGGTTCAGAGTTAGGGATGGAACCAATCTTCTGAAGAACTATACCCGCTGAGCCACAGCACCCGAAACAATAAGAGCATCTCCCTCAATTCAATATGACTGTATTCATGTTTGTACCTCTACAGAGTAAGGGATTCAAGTTTAGTTTATAGGAGATTTTAAAATGTTAATATCAAAGTGAATGAGGCTGGTATATTTGCCATCAGCGTTGAGTGCATTAGGAAAACAAAAAAAACTCAGACTGTTTGATTGACAGCTTTGTCACACCATCGTTTTCTAATCAGACAGAAAAAATTATAAACACTTAAGGAGAGGCAAATCCACAAAAAATCTTGAAAAATGTACACCAGAAGCTTTTTTCATATAAGAAATCCTTGTTTGAAACAGGAGAAAAAGTGCAGGTGTTTTCAATTAACATAAAGGATGGACGCCTGCAATGCAAATCTCCTATTAGCCATGAATAAATAACTTCTATTTCAGAGATATCATATAGGACATTGGTAGTTTCCATAAGACAAACTGACACAATATTACATTCAACACAAAGATTAGTAATTTCAAGAATTAAAATGGCACTTGTGTAGATTCTCTCTCCTGTCTTTAACATGATCTGAGCAGCAATAGCTAATCCAACACAACTTCCCACTTTATCATGAACACAACCTGTCATTCTCTTCTTCTCTGCAAAGCCCATTGACCTTTTCTGCCCCTTTTCAATACTGCAATTTATTTATTTATTTTTCATCATAGACTTATATCACCAGCGCACAAGCCTTTCTGCAGCTGTAATATACTGTAAGATGATAGGACAGTGGAGTGTGTGATGTAACTACATTGCAGCTGGTGATGTAACAGCCACTGCAGGCAGGTTCATGATGCACAATAGACAGAGCATCATCTGAGGGAGGCAGACAGAAGGAGGGAGGAAGAGAAAGAGAAAGAAAGGGCTGAGATTGGATGGAGAGTAAAATACAAAGAAACATGCTGACCTCAGTCTGCTGGAAATACACAAACACTAAGACATTCACTCATACAACCACACCAATTCCATTTGAGCAAATGCATTTAAAAAAAGAAAAAAACACCACACACACAATGCACTGACCAACCTGCTGCATGCAGGCCTTCCTTATGATTGATCAGTTAACATGTCAAAGGTATAAGCGATGTTTAATCCTATTCATATTGATGTCTGTGCATGTGAAGGTCTCCCCGGATTCCCTGGTGTGTAAGAACTTAGCTGGCTGTCCCCCGCTCACGACTCAAGCTAAAAAGAGATTGTGCTTTTTCAGTTGAAGCCCCAAAACTGTGGAACAGCCTTCCTCTTCCCATCAGGTCTACATCCTCTACTGACTCTTTTAAGTCCCTTCTGAAGACTTATTTTTATATTTAAGCATTTGAGTCCTCTGGTCCTGAATAGACGGTTCTTTCAGATTCCAGTTATTGCTTCAATATCTCTCCTATTTATTCTATCATATTTTATTGTGTTTATTGTATATGTTGTAATCCCCTGTAAACTGTTTATTTGATGCATTGTACAGCACTTTGGTCAGCTGCTGCTGTTTTTAAATGTGCTTTATAAATAAATATGACTTGACTTGACTTAGCTGGGCGTGACACAATGCCTTCTCTAATCGTGATTTCATCACTTCTCCTCCTTCTGTTATCAAGCAATAAAAAAAATATATACCTGTTTGCAAACGTTTACTGGATGCTCCTGTTTACTGCCCGTCTACATATTAAAATGTCTTATCTTAAGGCTTCTTCTACAGTAACTGATAGAAAACAATCAGTAATCTTACTCAAAGTATTTCCTTTATTGCTACATAATAGTGGTATAAATGTGTAAGAAGTATGAAAGTACATATTAAAACAAACATATGTGTGATGTGTCGCCTTGTGTACCTGACTGCCTGCAGGTGAAACAAACACATTCAATGATTGGCTGCAGTCCAAACACAGTCAGATGTGACAGCTGCACTTGTAAATGAACTAAAAATATTCAGACTGAAATTACCTGTTCTCATTTACAAGAAATAAATCTTTTCCGGTACAAGCTCCAGGTTGACAGATACAACTTGTAAACATGATACAAATCTGGAAGGTTTGTTTCCTCGCTGTATCCTCGCTCTATTTGAACTGTAACCAACTGTTTTAATAGCCTTTTTTTTTTTTTTTTAGCAAAAATTTAAGAATATCTCTGCATCATGGCTTAAAAAACTACCAAGATAAATTGATTCTCAGTAGGATATTGTTCCAACTTTGAATTTAAATGTTTTGTTGTACAAAAACATGCAATATAAAGGGAAAAAAGGAAATAACTGGCTGACCCCTGACCTCCCTGTAAAAGACAAGCTATCTAAATGAGCAAAGACATCTTCAAACAGTGCAATTTTGGCCATTAGAGATGACTACCTCAGATAATTACTCTTAAAGTACTCTTTTTACCCTGACACATATTTTAAAATGAAAATTACTCTTTGATGATTTCCTGTTTTAAATAGCACCCTGGCCCATACCCCAAAATCACTGTGTTGTTTAACAGTACTCTACTAACAGTTAGGAAACCCTAAAAAAGGGTCATGTGCATCCCCAGCTGAATTTAAGATAGTTACAGATGTTAAGAGTGGATTAAAAATAAGATAGTAGAACAGTCAAAGTAAATAGAGTATGTTAGTATATGCTTTGTAGTGCATAGGAGCCATGTATGTTAGTAACATTACTGTCTTAAATACAGCATAAAGCAAACTCTACTGTGTATTTTTCTCCTCAACAGGACACATGTGCAGCGCTGTAAATCATTTTAAGTGAGGCTAATTTCTTTAGCTAGCCTGCATGTAGATCAAACCACGGTGTTTTCAGACAGTCTTCATGGTTCATTTCTCACAGACTGTCTTCCTCCTTCTTCTCCCCCTCCTCTTTCTGCTGCTAGTTCTTTTCATGCTACCCACTTAGCTCAAGCTACCGGTAGGCACAAAGAGACCACACAGCTGAGCTTACCTAACACTGAAATCCTGATTGCTGCTGTCTAAACACTAAATGCCACCGTTCATTCTTACCTTCTTCACAGCGACGTCAGTCCCCAGTTTCCCCACGGAGACACAACTCTGCTTTTCAGACTATTTTCTTTTCTGCACGGAGCTAGCTCGTCTCCACTGTCTGCATGAGATGCTGAGTGTCCGCTCATCGATGTTTGAAGCACTAGCTTTTCCCTTTCAGCGTCTCACTGTAAAACTATAACTTCAGCCCCTGAACGTAAAGCAAGATGTAAATGCGCAATGGCATTTTAAGCCAATAATCGTCACCACCAACTGTTAATAATTAAATGAAAACAACAGCCCTACACACCATTCTAGATATGAAAATACATGAAAAGTAAAGTATAAGGTGACAAATGGTCGAATTCAATGAAGCAGCACGGTTGTACACATACCAACAAGACCACAGGGTGTAATGAAACAATCTTCTACTTACATCTAGTGGACGAAAAACCTCCCTACAGGAAACGTTATAAACCAACTTGCGCATCTATAAACACATTACGGGCAGAACGTCAGGATGAAAGACATCAGGTGGTGACGCTACACGACGAGAGCCAATCAGCTTCCAGTACAGGCGGGGCCAACAGGGATAACGGACCAGAAATCCCTCCGTCTGCTTCGCTCAGTCTTCTGATAATTATGTGAAATAATGTAAAAAATGTCATGAATTTCAGTGTGTGCTATACAGGCAGAATAATATTCTGGCAGCGGATTTAAGAGGACACTAAGGTAAGATGGACTTTGTCCGAAATAAAAACAATAATCTGTTGGCTAAATGCTATTTCTGTAAAAGCTAGCTGTCATTGTAGCATTGGCTAAATAACGATGAATTAAAACAAGACAACTAAAAATCCTTTCTAGCTAATGTTAGCGGGACAGTTTTGTGAACAGTGCAACAATTACATGGCAATTTGCACCTCCAACGTTGCTTTCCTTTCCAATATGTCTGATTTATTGCTGAAATACTCTATAGTCAAATATCCATGATAATAACGACCTGTTCTGTTCTGTTGGTGTTTGTTCTGTCCAGCCTCTGTTTGTCTGTTTTCTCCTCTGGACAGTCTCTAGTCACTGATATGTCTCTGGCTCAGAGAGTATTGTTGACCTGGGTCTTTACCCTGGTCTTCCTCATCATGCTGGTACTCAAACTGGACGGGAAGGTACATATTTATATCTCTTGATACTACTTTCTCTAAGCTTCTGTTTATTCAGAGTCTTATCAGTTGAAGTTATTCATTCTATATGAAAGTGCAAAATGATCTTCTTATCAAAGCAATAATTTGACCTATCACACTGATTGTACCATGTACCTCCTATTTGGCTCCAGGTGCAGTGGAACTGGTTCCTCATCTTCCTCCCTGTCTGGGTCTTCGACGGCATCCTCATCCTCATGCTTGCCATCAAGATGGCGGGCCGTTGCAAGCCTGGGTACGATCCTCGCAATGGCTCACCAGACCTGCGTCTGCGTGCCTGGTACCTGACGGCCATGCTGCTGAAGCTCGGCTTCTGCCTGACGCTGTGCGCCAAGCTGGAGAAGCTGGCAGATGTAAAGCTGACGTTTGTGTGCATACCTTTGTGGACCATGCTGCTGGGGGCGCTGGTGGAGCTGGGGCTAAACATCTTTCCTGAAAGAAGAGAAGCCTAAGAGGGATTATACCTCAGCATGATTCATTACAACAAAACTGATGAGATACATACCTCTCATTATGACTCTTGTCAAATCTGAGCTTTTAGCCTGATAATGTTTCCAGAAGACAAACACTGAAGAAGGAATCAAAGTACTATCTCGGCCATTTGTGTGAAAATAATCATGTTCCGAAAAGATGGCTCTATTATGGCCAAATGTATATTATGTACAGGTAAATTATACACTGGAAGAATCAATGTCCTCTTTGTTCTGTACTTAGTTGTTCAGTATTTTTTCAAGTGTTTATGTTCACTGTAAATAAGTTAGCACAGGAGAAAGTGGGAAATTCTGACTTCATTCATTTAAGCTGCATTACATGTTCGATCCCCTTTTGGTACCAAAATAATCGTGATGTTTCTTTTCCTTCCTTAGCTGTGGATAGTAGATGGCTAAATATTATTTCACAAGTTGTATGTTCATTTGTTTTGTTCAGGTCGAGGCCAAAGGGTGTGTTTTGGCTCTAGGCACATGAAGAGAAAAAAATACCAAGATCATTTTTCAAGTTGTTAAAAACATAATGTCATCTTGAACAACATCTTCTCCCACAGGCTGTTCCCTCTGCCTGTTACAAGGTCTCTTTTGTACCTTGTAGATCATCATGTGCCATGTGTTAGCTGCTATTAGGTACAAAGGTTTAAGGCTGCTGGAAGGAAAACAAATCATGTGTATCATACATGGTGACCAAACAGTATGAAACATTTACATATAAACAGATAAATATGGAAAATCTAACTTAAGCAACTTCTACTGAGCAGTTAGATCATTTTCTAAAGGGCTCAATTTAATGTTTTTTTTGTTATGTCATCTTGGTACAGCTGACACTGTGCCATTTCTTGTTTTGTGCCATTTTATTGTTAATTAGTATTTAATCTGCATTATTTTGCACGATGATGAAATGAAAAAGAGGAAGCGTTTTGAGGACTAAAGTATTTGATAATAAATGCATGTGTTGGAAATAATAATTTCTTTACATTTGATTCTAGTTGTAGCATTATACACATTTAAGTTCTTAGAAGGGACATGTTTATAGGGACTGTGAAAATTAAATGTAGCTGCAGGGAGGTGACCTAAAACGAACTGTGAAGCAACCACAGAGCAAACAACGAGTGAATGTGAGTGTGTGTGAGATCTGACTTAGCATTCTTTCAGGGACACATTTCACAGGGAGTACAAACCTGCTGAACAGTTTGTCCAAATGGGGACAAAAGCCATGTTCCTACGTTTCTTTGGGTCCGTAGTTAAGGTTTGGGAAGTAGTGGTTAGGGTCAGACCAAGTCTCCAGCAGAGTTTTAAAAGTCTATGTTATGTCGCAGAATATAATCTGAGAATGTTTGCCCTTTCAGAGACGTGTTAGCTTCTCTCATATACACACAGGGATATTCTGCTGCATCTTCCAATGCTGATATTTTAAGTATGAAGTTAATGTTTGTATTATGTCCTTAACAGCAGCAGGTGTGAAATATACTTTACCTATCCCAAAAGTGAAGTCAGAAATCATTTGAAAAAGCACAACACCAAGACAGACTAATACAAATCTTTTAGTGATTATGATACACCTTAAACAGTGGTAATCATGGTGTAGACAGACGTGAGTATATTGTATGTGGAGAGATTGGTTGAAGGGTGGAGTTTAACATTTCTGCAGAAAGAGAAGAAAAAAAACATTTGTGTTTTTCCATAAGGCACAGAAAAATGAGTGCTAGTAAAGTGTGTTATCAAAACTATCATGCTAGCAATGCTTGTAAATTAATTCAACCTGAACACTTCCCACAAACGTGCAGTGATGTACATTTATCTAACCCAGTTTAATTTTGTGTATTTATAACAAAATAATGTTCTTCTTACTACACTACATTTATTTTGACACCTTTAATGCTAGTGTATTTTGCCAAGAATGATGTTACATTAAAAACACAAATATATATTTATCAGTTCATCTATTAGATTAATAGTTACAGTTTCAGTTTATGCTTTGCAGTTCTAACACGGACATGTTTCCCGCGGTAGATGTTTAATTAACCGAGTCTCAAAGTGGAAAACTTGCCTGACTTTTTTTTTTCTCACAAAAAAGCAAAGATTAGATTTTTAAAAATCCCCAAAATTGTTTACTAGACTCTGTCATTTTTCTTGAGAACCTTTGCAGTGGCCGGAACCCAATGTTTGGAACCTTTTCATTTAATTTGAAGTAGTAAAGCTTATTTCCAAACAAGTAAAATCATCACATGGATGCATCAGTATTAACAATCCAGTATTGCATTATATCATACCAGCCATAGAGGACACATTAGTTTACTATTGGTACTTTGAGCAGTGGATTTGTAAAGCAGGGCTTTCATCATTAGAGTATTAGAAGTTTTACTTGTCTGAATTATTTTGCATTTGGTTGCATGAGAAGTCCAATGTGAAGACACATGAAAATCATTTTCATAACTTAACTAAAACTGTTTCTAACCAATCAGCAGCGTGGCACTTGACCTTGAGAAGTGAGTCATCTCAGCTCAAACACTGAACACTCTGTGTGTAAGCTACACTCACATGGTTCAACAAGCTTTTTCCAAGTATTCCCTCCAAAATCCCTCTTTGTCTCGGCTCCAGCTTCCTGCCTGCCTTCGCCTTCACTCACTGTGAAGGTCAGCTGAGCTCGTTTGGCATTCCTGCTGTGTCGAGAGAGAAGGCATGAAAGATGAAAAAAAAAAAAAAAAAAGTCTGATTTAAATTATACCCGACCCGACACACACACTGTACTGTAGTGTGTATGATGTGTCTGCTTAAATCTTTCCTGGTGAAAGTGATGTGATCATTTCTGTAGACTGCAGTGAGTGGGTGGCTTTCATAACACTAATCTAAAGAGAGAGAGAGAAAAAAGGGGGCCATACAAAACATAACAGTTGATTTGTAGTTTGTTAAAATAAAAGAGAAATGGAAAAGGCCTGTGAGAGGAAGGCAGGTGTTTGTGGTCCTAACACAACCCAGCAAGGAGACATTTTGAAACATTCCTCAGTGCAAACATCTAAGTGTTTCTATATTAAAATAACATAAATCTTAATAGCTAAATCAAATATAATAAATATACTTTGACATCAGATCACGAGTAGCTGTTTGTGTGAAGGGTTACTTACTTCTGCTCTGTTTACTAACAACTTCACCACATCAAGGCAAAATGTTTAAATGTCCCGTTGTTACGTTCAGTCGGTTTGTGCTGCCCCAAGTGGTAGAAATTAGTTAGTGCAGGTTTGACGCTGCAAGATTAAGTTTTCCTGTAAACAAAAGTGATTAAGTGTTTGTCAACAAAATGCATTGAGTATTATTGATATCTTACAAACACATTACATGTTTGTCCACCCTGAAAACAATACCTTTAATCAGCATTGTTTACAATCATGGGTACCTTCATTACTGGCTGTATCCTTTTTTCACTTCCTGTTTGGATGCATGGATACATTTGTCTCCCAGTTTTGCAAACAAAAAGTGTATTGATGGCAAAGTTGGAATTGCAAAGGCTGTGTGCTCACATGCAGGAGTTAAAAATTGTACAAACATTACTGCGTAGTGCTGCTAGTGATCAGAATGACAACATGGTGTCTTGTAAGGTATTTTCTTTTCACATTTTCTGAAGCTGACCATTTAAAATCATAAGAATCTTCCAGGTCTTATGACTACAAAAGAGCAATTTTCTAAATCCTAAAAAGTTTACATTCCTAAGGTTTTTATAGTGCAGTAAGGAAACATTAAAGAATTCATACCACATTGATTCCATACATTGAACCTTTTATTAGCTCGGCTCATATTTAAAGTAAAAACCACAATACATATTTTCCTCTTTACAAAACTTTTTATGTACACTACAGTGCTGACAGATTAAAATCACCAAAAAACAAACAAAAAAAACCTTAAGATAAATAAATCGATGAAAACAGCAGCGACTGCTGAAGACATGTTTTCGACCATAATCTTTTCACATTTGTACAAAAAATATAGAAGATCCTTGTCAGTTTCTTTTGTAACATCTGAAACCCGAAAACATAAAAAGAGCTGCAGAGCGCCCGCAAGTGGCATCAAGTGCTTCATTATCACCTCGATCTAACCAGAGCCACATACAGAAGAGTTGTGCCTCTGAAATTAATTCCCTGAAGAGAGCTGAAAGTTTAGATTTCATTTTTTCAAATTCTCCAGACTAAGCACAACCCACAAGTTTGACTGATTCCAGTCTCAGACCACAGACTTGAGTTGTCAAAAGCTTTAGTGACCAATTTTAAGCTTTGCATCCATTTGTTCAGTGAAAACTTAAGACTGGGACCTTAAACACGTCTCCTTCTCTACATGGTTCTGGACCATTACTTCACAGTTAAGGACAGGCACTGGGGAAATGTTGTAGGCTACATTAGCAAGTGGGCTGTACTCCAATGTTGTTATTAAAATCAAGACATCTACGACAAACAAAAAAAAAAGATCAAAAAGTTCTACAGCTGTTGGGCGAGACAGAAGAGTACTATTCATAGTCATTCCTAAAACAGAATATAAATTATTTACTTTCTACAAGAGAGCACCCAGTCTCTGGTCCTTAAATTAAACATTCAAAAGCAGAAAAAAAAAACTCATGTCAATATAAATAGTGCTTTGGGAAAGAACTCTGGAAAGTGTACTGTCTGTTTGTCTTTGAGCCTATAGAATAAAATAACTATATCTTAGAAAATCTAAGGCCTTAAACATGAACATTTTAGATTTGGAAGAACCTTTAAATGCCCTGTTGTAATCCGGGGTTCATAAAAGAAGCAATATCTGACTCTGACACCTAGCCTTTTAAATGGGTACTGCAGTCTGAATTCAAAAGCTTTGCAAGCAGGTTGCAAAGCTTCAGTGTTTAGCCAGCTCTGCATCAGTCTGCATCGGTCTGTAAAACTTTCTTTGTTCTAACCTCTCTTTCCAAAAGCATCTCCAATATTGATCCTAGTTTTAGATTCACTTCTATCTGAACCAGTTTGCTTGGCCACTTTCATCACTCAACACCTGTTGGATTGCGGTGATAACTAGTGTCATATCTGGCAAACCGAGGGGCATCCAAAACGACTGGTGGGGTGCCTACCTTCTCTGGTCAAAAAAATACAGACCATTCTGTCGAAAGTTAGAAGGAGGACATACTGGCTGCTGCACTTCAACATAGCATGTTTCCTTAATGTCTGATGATATAGTAAGGTCATTTTATGATTTCATTCAGTACACATCTTACATATTGCTCCTTTAACTTAAATGTCTAGAATAATTTAAAGTGTAACAAAACAGTAGTTGATGAATCTATGTTTAAAAGTGCTATGAGTCACATCTGGAAAGTTAACAGCTACATGTGTGTGATATCAGTCTGCTCGTTCTGTATGGGGAGCTCTAAGTGCATCTGCAAAGGTCCTAATAAATTTGACTTTTATAAATCTCATGACCCTGAACCTTTTTTCTATCAGAGAATCATCCAAATGATGATGATGTGAATCAAAGCAGATTTAGAGCTTTGACACTGTTGCAGTTAAATGTACAAGATACCGTAAAACAAAACAGCAGGTCTCCATTAAAGGCCGCTTATGCAATTAGTGTTGATTAGTTTGCAGATCAAAAATATATTAACAAAAATGTCTCCCTCTCCCACAGTCCAACAAGTTGGTATGGTGTCAAAGCTTAGAACAGATTAAATCAATCAAGTCATTTCTAATTTAATTTGTTGGTATACTAATTTTGTTAAATATTTGTTTTGATGTAAATTTACAATTTGAAAGTCTGTCCAAAACGTGCTTAATAATTATAGGCCTGTCTCTTATTAACGCCTGTCCCAAATAAAGGCCGGGCAATTAATTTAAGTTTTACGGTAATCAGAATACTTTATTGCTTGACATTTTTGGTACTATGCTTGTACTTTAAGTAAAAATGTATACTGTATACAGGGCTGTCATTTCTTATTTCTTGGCACTAAAAAACTTCACTAATATTCTAATGATTTAACTTGTTTCCATATCAATAACAATGAAATGCATTTAAATTCAGCAGATTATTGCAGAGCAAAAATGCTCAAGATACAATATTATGGAAAAATTCTGCAGCTTACCATATTGATGAATCAATATGGTATAGTAGAGGAAATGCAGCAATATTGATACAATAGTGTATTGTATAATATTACAATTTGACCCATAATAATTCCAGAAACAGTCTTGGGCATAAAAATAAACTCACTAGAAAAAAGCCACAAAAATGGAAGCATTAGCTGCAAGTTTCACAAAAAGGTCGAACATCCAGACCTTTTTTCTATAAATATTTGAGATACGTTTCAAAACGATTTCCTTCCTATCTTTGATGGAGTGATTTTAAAATCAATTTTTTAAACTGCATTTTACAGAAAACAGAACCAGTAGTTTAAACTTGAGGCTGAAACCGTCTTAAAAATGTCAACATCTTTGTAGCCGTACATCAAGGCCAAAACTACCAACAAATGCAAATGAAACCCGAGCACAACTGGGATATTTAAAATCAGCATTAAAAACAACATTATTGTGCTCATACTGTTCCTCCCTCTTTTACTGTTTTAAAAACACAATCTAAATAAATCCTCGCTCTACATATACAGTTATTTAAAAACAGTATCATATGTACAAAAACTATAAAATCTGCTCTTCATGCATTGGGGAGGGGGAGAGGAGGGAGGGGGAAGGCTGAGGGGGAGGAGGAGGAGGAGGCAGAGGAGGAGGTGTGGAGGAAGGAGGAGGAGGCGGGTGAGGGAAATGCTGTGCTGGCTTTAAAGTTTGGTACAGTGGCTGCAGGGGGTAAGAAGCCGGCAGTTGGGGAGGTACGACTGCGGGGGAAGGAAGGGATGAAACGGGAAGTGGGGTGCTGATGGGGTAGTAGGGTTTGGTTTGGGGGGGTACTGGTGATGGTGAGGGAGGAGATGAGGGAGAGTTTGGGAGGCGGGGAGGGAAGGGTGGTAGTACGGTTGAGACTGGGTGGTGAGGTTAGGTTGGGGAGGGGGGGGCAGGTGGAGCTGGTTTATGTGGGCCGAATGGGGGGGCGGAGTCTGTGGGAGAAATGAGTTCATAGTTTGGGGGAGTGGAGGGTTTGGGGGATGCATTGGGGGCCTGTGAGGAGGGTAAGACGGGGGCAGCATGTGAGGGAGTGGGGAGGGAGGGGGCAGGTGTTTGGGTGTGTATTGCTGCAGGTAACTCCCCGGCCTCTGTGGATCCAAAGACGAGGTCCTCGAGTTTGAACTCTGAGTCCATGTCTCTTGGAGTGTGTATGTCCTCACATCTGCAGTGTGTGTCCGTGTGTCTACCTGCAGACCTGAAGGTGTGTGTGTTTGTTGAACGTCTGTGGCAGCTTTGTGTGTCCTAGTGTCTAAGGCGTTGTCTGCTTTCAGGCGGGGGGAGTCTTTGTCCTTCAGTTCAGGCCGACAGCAGGAAGATGGTTTCACAATAGTTTGGGCTGATTTGGCAAAGGAGGAGGATGTTGTAGCTGGAAGAGAAAATGCAGAGGATACTGAAGATGGAGAAGGAGGAGCTAGAGGAGACACCAAAGATGAAGAGGAAGACTTGGAGATGTGTGATTTAGAAGCTGAGTGAGGAAATGAAGAGGAGCTTTTACTGGAAGACGTCGTCCTGTTCTCAGAGTTATGATGGTGATGACGGTGATGGTGCTTTGATGATGCTGCTTTAGGTTTGGCGTCCTGATCAGGAGGACAGCGAGCAGAAGGAGGTGGAGTTGATTTGTTTCTTAAGGGAGAAAGTGGTTCTGCTTTTATTTTTGCATGAGGTGCATCCTGTTGTTTGGGTTTGACTCCTTCTTTCAACCTCTTCTTCTCCTCTTCTTCTTCTTTGTCTCTCGTGCCGCTCACATTGGAGTCCATGGAGAGAGGAGGTGGAGACACAAGAGGTGAAGGCTGAAGAGGAAGAGACTCCTCCTCCTCAGTTTTGACAGTCAGCAACGTCCTTTTTTCTGCCACGTCGACCTCCTCCTTTATCCTCTCTTTCAGACATTTTTCCTCCTTTTTTCCTCTCCTCCTCTCTTCTTCTACCTCACTCTCCTTTTCCTTCAGCTCTACCTCCTCCTCTTCCTCCTTCACCTCCTCCTCCTCCTCTTCTTCGTCCTCTCCTTCTCCACCGTGGTATTGCTGTAGGCGTACATGCCAGGCCAGGCTGCAGACAGACGACACGGTCTTGAACTGGTGGACGACGTTGCGAGGGATGAAGTAGATGTCATTGTGACACAGGCGGATGCGGGCGTAGCGGATGCCCTCTCGACGCAGCTGGTTCAGTTTGGCATCATCCACCCACTTCACACACTGTGAAGAGAGAGGAAGAGGAAGGAGGTGAAACCTTCATCTTCTATGCTGACATCAAAGACTGTTTCAGTTACCATTGACTACATTGACTATTGCTATATTATTATTTTTAATTTCCAAAGGTGCTGCTGCTGGGTAGGTATCAGCTGCCAAAATTACTTTTTTTTTTTTTTTACATTTTCCATGGCAAGTATTCCCAATGAGTGATACTATTTTCTGTTTAAAGAAAGCAGGAGAGATTTTTTTTTTTAAAACACAAGTACTGGTCAAAATCACAACAAAGATAAGGTGAACTGCTTTGTACAAAGGGGGCGCCAAAACAGACAAAATATACGTTCCTCAGAAGAGCTTTAACTCAACAGGAATGAGCTTTGCAGCTTTAAATAGCTGATTAAAGAATGAAGCCCCATGTACAGAGGCTATAGACCTCATCACAGCAGCTGTGGGGTTTGAATCCGACCATTTCATCCCCTTCTCTCTCTGTGTCTTTTCAGCTGTCCTATCTAATAAAAGGCACAGACGGCCCAACAAATAACTTTTAAAAAGAAGAGAGAGAGAGGGGCAGTGTGTGTGTATTGTTGATGATAGGATCTCTGTTGTACTTTATGGGGAGTTGGCTCGACATCGAGATATTCTGATCAAAAACAGCATGAAATGTTTTGCAGCCAAATTCTGAAATCAGCTCGCCAGGTCTACATGAGAACATGCAGGTTCATCTGATTAAAACTCAACAGAAGTGATTGACAGACTGTTTTGACCTTATTCCGTTTGAATTATTGTAGTTTGCTTAAGACAAATAATCAAAAGATCCCTCTTATTGTACTATTTAAATTTATAAAACAATTATTTCCACAAGTTTTCTTGCGCCAAGCAAGAGCCTCAACTTGTTGCAGTTAAACTTTTCTCCACCAGGTGGCAGCATCAAACATCAGATTATACCTTTCACTAAGTGTTGGATAACAGGCATGATATGAAGTTAACATTAAGGATTGACTCTACAAAAATAAGAAAGGCTTTTAATGTCTGAATGTGGGATATATATTGGTGTGTGTATGTTTGAGTGTGTGAGGTCAGACCTGAGATAGGGGAGGTTCATATAGGTCCAGCTGCAGCCTCTGAACCACATGAGGGAAATCACCAGCGTGGAAACACACAACGTCTTTGGTTACACGAGGAGGGTCCGAGCTAAACATCGGGAAAAGGAATAAAAGGATTACACATTTGGTGTTTTGAATATTTTTTTATATCAAATGTTATGTCATTGCCTACCTTTCTCCGGAAAGTACGGCCTTCAGGACCCCCACAGCAGCTGTGGTCTGACGCTCAAAGCCCTGCCCGATGTGATCGGCGTGCGCGCGGGTCCTATCCTCAAACAGCATCTCTCTGGGCTCGCTGGTCCTGGGCAGAGACTGCAGCAGGTTCTTCACCTCGTTGGTGGAGCTACAGGAGGACAGAAAGAGATTTCTTTGCTAAAGACAAAATGACTCAAGGTTTCTTTGTGTTTACCGTCTGCTGGGGGAAAATAAAAGCACCACACAGGCTTTATCTGCTGCTATTGTTGTTTCATTGTTTGACTCGCCCATTGATGAAATCCAGACAAACACAGTTTAACACAAGTAGCAGAGAGGATGTTGGAGAGAATAAAACCTGCATCAGTTTGGATACAACAAAGCACTGTTGTAGTTTTCTTTCAGTAGAGCTGCGACGAATGTTTGTTATCAGTGAATCTGCTGGGTCCTACCTGAAATTTACAGTCTATGGTCCTGCCTCAAATAATGGTGAATTAAAACCATTTGGTTTAAAATGATTACAGCCCCCCAACCCAAACTATTTTTATTTTTACATCATGGATAGTTGAGGAAATCTGCAAAAACGCACAATTTTAATGGAACAAGAGACTTTTTTTTCTCTGTCCAGTCTATTCATTCTCTCATCTATAGTTTTTTGTCTATGCAACATAGGTGTCAATCAATTAGCCGATTAGTCAACCAAAAATAAAACAAGTGCTTTAGCCCAGCTGTACCACAATCAGGTGTTTCTGCCGGTCAGGGCAGAAAGAACACATTTTGAGTATTTTTTTATAAGCCAATTGTTAGACAATTAAGATCTTATTTCATGAGGAATTCAAAGACATATTATCTAGAAATCATCGGACACTACGTGATATAAAAAACACACTTTAGATTAAACTCTAAAATGTATCCTATCGTATAACAGCAAAACTTTGACATTTTAAGCACACCTTGAAAACGATATTCATTGTTTGATGTCTTTTTCTTCATATAGAAATTGTTTAAATATGGTGGTATCATTTTAATTGCAGTGGTCAATATGGCATCTTTTTATAACCAAAAAAAAATACTGGAAGTAAGGAAACAATAAATATACATTTAAAATCAGTGATATGCACAACATTTCTTTTTTCCATGGGATGGCTTTATAGATGGAGTAAAAATTGAGTAAATGCCTCCGCCTGACTTCATACAGACAGACAGACAGACAGACAAGCAGAGCAGTAAAAGCATAAAAATGAGCCAAACAATAGAAGTACTGCAGTCAGCTCACTACTGGATCAGTGACTCACACTGGAGCTGCAGTCTGATTCAAACGAGAAGAGTATAAACACACAGAGTGTGAGAGAGACTCCTTGGAGAGCATCATGCACACACAAACACCAGACACTACACAAGCTGAACACTTAATGTACATTCATTCAATGGGAGATAAGAGGATGTAGGCGAGAGAGGAAGAAAGACGGAGGAAAACAGAACAGAGAGGAGGGAGATATGAAACACACACACACAGCCCAGTATGTCTGACTGCAGGCTGACAGTAATGAATGTAAAACCAGGAAAGCTGCTGAGTGAAATACTGAAAAGAAGGGAATGTAAAGGTGAGGGCTGCTGAACCTGCAGCGTCCAGAATGATAACCAGAACACCTAAACTGCCCTCTATATAACATGTCCTCTTTGTACCTCATGATACACCAAGCAGTGGGGCCACATTCCTGTGTATTTATGGGACCCTGATGACAAGCCCAAAGTGTAATTTGTTAATAAAGTTGATGTTCATACTACAATGCATTACATTAACGCCCACTGGACTTTAAAAATGTATCTTCCTTACATGCACTCTGTGAGTAGTTACACACATTAAGATGTTTTCTCATAGTCCACTGCACAGCTCCTACATTACACCTTTTGTACATTTTGTTTTTTATATTTTACATTTTTAAATTCTATTTTATATATTGTAATATCTTCTTATACTGTATTTTTTAAGTTGTTGCTAGTTCTGCTTTATTTCCTTGTTAATTGTTTAGCACCAATACACCAAGTCAAATTCCTTGTATGTGTAAATGTACTTGATTGATTCTGATTCCGACAGAAGTGTTGCTGGAGTATTTTGACCTCTTCAAGCCTTTCACTCTACATGAACTTTTTTAGTTGGGGAAGTTGTGCCAGAAAATCCCACTCTGCTTATTTATGGGTAAATAAAAGGGGGAGGAGAAGAATAGAGAAGGGCTGAAATGAGGAAGGGAAACTGTCAGAGAGAGAGAGAGAGCAGAGATTATGAAGGGAAATAGGGGATAAAGATGGACGGAGGTGGGGACTTGAGGGATAACTCAGTATTCAAATAAAAGAGAATAAAGAAGAGAACCACAATAAGACAACAAACACTTTCAATGTACATGATTCAGCTGCTGCACACACTCCTAAGACAGTACATCACACTAGCCTACTATACAGTATATAATGTCAAATAATGTCAAATTAAGAAAAGCTGAAAATCCCCAACTGGAGAAACTGAGCTTTGGCTTAACTGTAGTCTAAAACTTAACTGATGATAAAAAGAGCTTGTTCATTTGATCTGGTCATATCCACTCTCCTTGAGATAGAGCAGGCATTGGTTTGACATCTCGCTGACAACTGCACAGTTCTCCTTGGACTCTCACTTTCTGTGTCAGGCCATCGTCCACTTTGTTTCTGCTGCTTGCCAGGGTTGCTTCTGTTACACTGCAATTATTGTAAATCTCACACAGCATGGCAATCTTTTGCTAAAAGCTGAAACATCTTGTTTTTTTTTTCCATCATCCGACCACTATAATCAAGCTGAATTCTCAGACTGAGAGTCTCAGTGCTGTCAGAAATGTTTAACAGCTTGACCTTTTCTCCCAAACCACAGAGAGAAAAGAGGATCACCACTCCTTTCAACAACACAGCTTTTGCACTTCACAGTATTTATTCCACAAGCAGGTTTTTGTTTAAGAATTTAAAGCGGACAAAAATAAAAACACATTGTCCTTACTTGAATGACTTTTAGACTTCCTGAAAAGAACAGCTCGGTAATTCTGTGATAAATCAACTCTAAGCAGCAAAGTGAGGTCAAGAGGAGGAAACAGAAGATGGATAGTCAAAGAAATGAAGAAAGAAAGATGCAGCAGAAACAGAGATTGAAGGGGGACAGAGAGAAGGAAGGGAAAGAGGATGACGACTTAAGATTGAGGAGCAATTTGGAGGACAAAAGGAGGAAATCACAAGAAAATGATGTTGGATTGTCACTTTGTATTCATGTCTCGTGTTAACTTATGATAAAATGATGAATCGTGGCAGGACGCAGAGAGAAGCAGAGAGAAGAGAGAAATAGTTAAACCATGTTACGCTCTCTTCATTAATCCATAAAAACAGATTCTTTCAGACCGAGGTGTGACACAAGTGTTTCTAGAAGTACATATACACCACACACACACACACACACACACACACACACACACACACACACACACACACACACACACACACACACACACACACACACACACACACACACACACACACACACACACACACACACACACACACACACACACACACACACACACACACACACACACACACACACACACACACACACACACACACACACACACACTTTGTTAAACGCCTTGTCTGGAAACACTCTGCACCTTCCCAATGCTGACACTGTGTAATAAAAGTATGCATTACATATGAAACACTATGGAGAAACTCACTATTCTGTTTTTATTGATTCCCCTCACACACATCGGTTGATTAAGAATGAATAAAGCTCATGTTGGTGTTAAAATCTCTCTTAAGACAAATGGTGAGGCCTTTATATATAAAGCATTAAGTTATATAAAATGTAAAAATATTCGGTTCACCTGGTATGTCTCTTTTGGGTCACATTTTCACTCCATCAATTTAAAGGTGTAATATAAAGAATTTTTACATTAAAATATCTAAATGAATAAAAACATTAACTAAACCTACATTATGTATACATTTTTTGTTGAGTTCTTAGATTACCTTAAATATTTCCAACAGTTATCAAAACCAGAGAAATTTTTAGTTGAAACAGCCCATGTTTTTCATGTTTACCGTTGCCGTGGAAACACTTAATGTTATGTCAAAGACTGTGGCATAAGGAAGCGTGAGCTGCTGCTGAAAGCTGCCGTGCTGCTGTGACTCAAGGCTGTTTCACTCGTTTGTCTCGACTACGGTCCTCAGAGTTGATTTTCATTCGGGGTAGGAATCACCAGAGGCCCCACAAGACGATATCATCACGATACTTGAGCCATGATACGATATTATTGCAATTTTAAAAATGCAAACTTACTTAACTTGATAAACAAAATAGAATTAATACCAAATAATCGGTAGTAACATGAATGCTGCATTAAAGGAATGTATGTGTGTGAGTGTGTGTTGTGTGTTTGGCCTGCTGCCATATGAAGTAGCCTCTGTTCCTGACTCTATTAGCATTTAAGTGATGATCTCATGTGAGAGCTCGGCCACATGACTCACATCATACACGTTGACACAAAAGCTCTCCTTGAAAGTCATAGGAATCATGTGTGTGTGGATGTGTGTGTGTGTGGGGGGGGGGGACAATGACACTGACAGAGACAAACAGAGAGGGTGTAATTGCCGCATCGGGCTACAACAAAGCTTCAGGCTGCTAACATGGCTGGTGTTCTAACGTGTGAGTGTGTTTATGTCTGTTTTTTATAGTCACAGCGCGTGGGCTGTGTGGAGAGGACAGAGGCACGCTGGCTCGATTAAGGAAAACACACCGCTGACGCTTACAGCCTGTATAAACAACAACTCAATGTGGAGCTTAAACCAGATACAAAAACATTGACTAGCTACTTGTATGTATGTTTATAAACTCTTATTGCTGGACTCACCGTTTCCTTTTAAAAGGGGACTTTGGTATATCAGCTACAGGTATCATCTGCTCTCCTGGTCTGACCCACATTATAGGCCCGTCGTCACTCTCTGTGGGACTCATCTGCCTTAGACTGGAGCGCGTTCCCCAAGGAAGAGTCCGCTGCAGAAGAAGACAAGAAAACATGAAGGAAAACAATCAAAGCAGTACATTAGCCACAGTCATTCACTTTTCCAGCCAATTCTTGGTGAGTATTTTAGTTTTTCATTAAAGTCTTTATATGTGATTTTTCACACTTAAATGTAATATAAATCAAGTATATCCTCTGAAAATAACTCTGAGTCATGACTGTCTACAATGGGTGTAACACCCGAGTCCCACTGTCTGTGATGTTTTCAGAGTTTTCAGAGTCCTATCTTCAGTTTGTTTACATCGCCTGGACGGCCGGCTGACTCCTCCCCTCATGTATAAAAGTAGTTTAATTGAGGGACTAGAGAAAAGAAGAATAACATACTGTACTCACTGCTTAACTGTGTTTCTAGATCACGCTCATTTCAGGTAAATGTACATGCAGTGTGAAGATACCAGCATAATAAAGATCGCTAGCATTAGCATGCTAACACAACAATGCACTGCGAGTTGTTTTGGTTTCATGCTGGTGCTTAAGGGCGACATCTGCTGGATCAAAAAATCTCATAAAGCCTTTAAGAGAGATCCCTGCTCTAGTGGCACAACTTGACAGCAGCACCCCAGAAGCGTGAGAGGGTGCTGAATCTTAGCCAAAGCCCCTCAACAGATAGGAATTGCCAGAGGATGTGCGTCTTTTAAAATTCACTCCACCACAGTGCATGCAGCAGAGATTTGAAGTATCATCACAGAACAGCAAAGACAACAAAAGCTTGTCAGTCCTGTATTTGGGGGACTGGAGTAACACAGTGTTTTGGTGGTCTATTCCTGCACAGGCTCTTTAAATAGGGAAGTAATACCCTGAACTGGTGCGAATCAGTCTGACACACCACTTAAAGCCTCCTCTCTGCCAGACACCACTGAGAATATGAGGTGTGTTGTTTATGTGCCCTACAAGACTCAAGCTGCTTTCACATATGCACTCCTTAAAATATCTAGATAACTTCAGGAGGACTGCTCTGGATATTCTTCTGACCTGGCTGTGAACATATGCACCTCACAGCGGGAGACTATCCCTGTCAGACAGGAGGGGGGGCGGGGGTCTCCTGAGATGAGAAGTAAGGGGAAAAAAAATGTGTAAGTAGGGGACGAAGCAACAGAGTCGGCTATATGACGCTACAGTGAGAATATACGCAGTCTGAGATCCTCTGGCAGAGCCCTACTGGCTGTTCCAAAGTCCAGGCTAAAAACTAAAGGGGACTTTGCTGTTAGAGCCCCCAGACTTTAGAACAGCCTGCCAGAGGAGATCAGACTTGCAGATTCAGTCCCTTGTTTTACATCCCTCCTCAAGACATTCTTCTATAAAAATGCTTTCACTCTGTGATTTCGGTAATTGTTCTTATTTTTATTTTATTAGTCTGATTTCGTTGTCTGCTTGTTTACTCTCTGCCTGTTGCTTTAACTGTCTCTCTGCTTTTATTTTCTGTTGTAAAGCACTTTGTTACTTGTACAGAAAAGTGCTATACAAATAAAGTATTATTATTATCATTATTATTATTAATATTTTCCTTTACATTAATGCTGTGTTTAGTTCAACAGAATCATAATATCAACAAAGGAGTGGAGAACAACAAACTGGAGAACAGAAAACATAATGCAGCAGGTTCATTACGTGCACAGAGATCGTAGCGGTTGCATGCATATACAGTAAATAAATGTCACTCCCCCTCCTATTGGCTCGTGGTGAATTCTCCAGATAATATCCTGCTTGGTTCTAACATCAGCTCACTCGGACTTACTGTGGAAAAAATACTAGGAGTCTGGCAGGAGGAACTCTGGGTGAAGTCCGATGAAAAATACAAATATATCAGGCATATGTCAGGAGTTTTTTTTTTAATCAAGAAGGTGGTCAATTCTCATTTCTCACAACACTAAGTAGCTTTTTTTACCTTCCCTCTTTGTCAGGGTAGGGATTAAGGAACAAAAAAAGTGAAACCTTACAAAAGCAAAGAAAAAGAGGGAAAAAACAAAACAAGGGAATTCTGTGGTAGGATAAAGGGTTGTAAAGGGATAAAGGGTTGTAAAGGAAATGAGTTAATCTGTAAAATGTACAGAATGCCACCCACAGACAGATTGTGACAGAAGCCAAGTTCTACTTACCACCTTTGTCAAACATACATGTTGGGGTATATTTTTCTTTTTTAATATAATAAATAAACATATAACCAACAATGTATGTATCTTATTTAAAGTGCAGCCCGTGCATCAAGAGACAGACAATAAAAAACCTCTGATGTGGGTTTTCCATTAAGTGACTTTGGTTGTCTACATTTTTGTGATTTGATTTAAGTCAGTCGGGACTACTTCAGTCGGAGAGCTACAGACAGTTTTGGTGTTTCACAGCGTTTGTTTTCAAAAACTAAAATATTATTGTCTTGATCAAATGCAGAAAATTTGCTGCTTCACAAGTTTCTTAAACTTTGGGCTTTGAGGTAAATCCGCTGATCTCTGAGGACAGTTACATCTTCCTCCTTTTATCTAAGATTTTTAAATTCAACGTTCTTTAACTGCTCATTGAGAAACTTCATTTTGCTGTTGAACTGTTCTGTTCAGCATTAGTGCCATGCACTGTGTCTTGACTCACCTTCAGGAATGGTGACTCCTCCAGCATGTTGAGGAATTCTGGGAAATAATCCCCGACCTCCTCGTCCACGGCTCCTACCAGGCTGATCTGTCTCATCGCCCCGGCTCTGTATGTTCCATTACTGTATGTTTTTTTTACCTGCAGAAAAACAAACATTATAAGAGAATGACGTTTATATAGTAACCGGCTAAAGTGTCTGCACGCGACCGCTACGATCTCCGTGCACGTAATTCAACGGCTGCATTATGTTTTTCTGTTCGTCAGTATTTTGTTCTCTTCTCTTTTGTGGATGTTGTCATTCCATTGGATTACACATAGCATTGATATAAAGGCAAATATTCTCATAACATCGTGTAGCGGACTTTGTTGCTACACGACGACACCAGTCGTCTTTTAAATACCTTCTCAACGGAAAATTGCTCCCTCGGTTATTTAAATGATACTAGAGATGACAAATAGAAACCTACAGAGAAAATAAATAGTTTACTTTAAAGATTGATCATTCTTCTCAGAGTCCTGTTGTAGACATTATCTACAGTCTGCTCAGCTGTGATGCTCTGCCACAGTGCTGAGAGTGTAATACACTTAGGATTCTGAGCTCCCTCTAGTGGACAAACTACATAAAGACACCATTTTAAAATCACTCCACAGATTGTTTTCTGCATTACATTATCTGGAATAAAAGTATTAGAAATCAGGAAAAAGGCAATTCTGTATATTTGCATTGATAGAATACATCTCGTGGATGCTCCTGAACACATCATCAGTGATGTAACCTGGGGTCATCGGGTGTTTCGGGTCTTTCAATCATCATACACCCTCGCCCAGGCGACCCAGCCATGGTTGATCAGACCTGGCTTGTGTTCAGGTGGCATTTACTACTCCCCATGGATCTCCTCTCCTGATCCAGAGCCATCTCGAGGCTTTCTCTGCTTCCTCGGTGATGCTTTCTCCTCTCCACTCCGGTGATGCCCAGTGCACTCAAGGTCTTATAGAGTGACTGCCCCACAAACCCTCTGCAGCCAACCTCGATGGGCAGACACCTCGCCTTCCAGCCCTGCTTGCGGCAGTCGATGACCAGGTCTTCATACTTGGCCCTCTTTCTTTCGTGAGCCTCCTCCAGGCGGTCCTCCCATGGCACTGTCAGCTCCATCAGGATGATGTTTCTGGTCTCCTCTGAGACCAGGAGGATGTCTGGCCTCTGGGTGGTTTTGACAATGTGCTGGGGGAACTTCAGCTGTTTTTCCAGGTCGACAGAGAGTTGCCAGGAGTCCTGGTGGGTTCTTGGCTTCTGTGGTTTTTGACAGCTGCTCTCCAGCCTTCACAAAGGCGACTGCCTGGGTGGTGGGGCAGGATCGTCTGCTGCTGCTGATTCCCACACTGATGGCTTCTGCGATGGGTTTCAGTACCTGGTTGTGGCGCCAGGTGTACCGGCCCTGCCCAAGAGCTACTGGACAGCAGCTCAGGATGTGCTCCAACGTCCCCCTGCATGGTCATTGCAGGCAACTTGGGGATTCCACTTTGCCCCAGATGCAGAGGTTTGATGGGCTGGGCAGAACATCGTACACTGCCTGGACAAGGAACTTAATGCGCTGTGGTTCTGCCCGCCAGAGATCAGTCTATGTGATTTTTCAGTCCATGGCTTACTCCCACCTTGTCCAGGCACCCTGCTGCCTCAGGCCAACAGCTCTGCTGGTCCTCCGCTCCTCCACCTCTGATCTCACTTCCTCCTGGACCAGTCTGCGCCTCTCCTTTCCCTTGGCGTGCTCGTACCGTGGCATTGGGACTCTGCTTGCAGTACAGCTTCCTCAGCTCTCCACTTCCTCCCGGTTCTCACCTTGACCCCTGCTTGGGCCACCTTGGGATCACTGGAGTCCCTGTACATCATCACCTCTCTTGCCCGAGTCACCCTCAACTCCTCCTCTAGTGACTTCAGGGGCAGCTGGAGCTTGGTGTTGTGACCATAGAGGGCGATGCTGTTGAGGCTCCTAGGCAGTCCTAGCCACCTTCTGAGGAAGCTGCTGACCTTCCTTTCCAAGCCCTCTACGATAGAGATGGGAACTTCGTAGACGAGCAAAGGCCAAAGCATTCTTGGCAGGATACCGTGCTGGTAGATCCAAGCCTTGAACTTTCTGGGGAGCCCCGACCAGTCCACTGCTCTCAACCAGCTCTCTAGTTCCTGACAGGTTTCCTGAACAGATGCTGACTCGGTGGTAACAGTCAGGTCGTCCATAAAGGCCCTGATTGGTGGTTGGCAAGTTCCTGTTTTGGTCTTGGGGCCCCAACACTCTGGTTCAGCTGACTTCACGATCATGTTCATCACCAAGGCAAAGAGGATCACAGAGATGGTGCAGCCTGTGATGATCCCAATCTCCACTCTGTGCCACTCTGATGTTGTTGACCCTGATACACATGATGCTTCTCCAGGGTTGTTTGGACCAGTTTGTGTGGGATGGAGCCATAGGCATTCGTGAGGTTGAGCCAGAGCACCGCCAGGTCTCCCTTATTCTCCCGGGCTTCTCTGATGAGCTGGGTCACCACTCCTGTGTGTTCCAGGCAACCCAGTTCTCCAGCTATGCCTCCCTTCTGCACTGAGGTGTCAATGTAGCTGTTGTTGGAGAGAAAGTCGGTCAGCTGTCTTGCTACGACGCTGAAGAAAATCTTCCCTTCGACATTCAGCAAGGAGATGATCCTGAACTGGTCGATGTTCTTGGAATCTTCTTCCTTTGGGATCCAGACTCCTTCAGCGAATCGCCACTTTCCCTCTCCTCCAGATGACTTTCAGGATCTTCCACAACCGCTTCAGTAACAGGGGACAGTTCTTATAGACCTTGTGAGTCACTCTGCTTGGGCCAGGAGCTGAACTAGATCGTGCCCTCCACACAACATCCTGAAACTCTTTCAGGAGTGGCTCCCTGCTGTCAAACTCCTTGATGGGTGGAGGTGGTTGTATCAGGATGTTGCAGTGTCCCAGCTCCTGCTGTCCGTCAGGGTCATTGTAGGTGGTCTGGATGTGCAGATCGATCTCTTCCTTGGTGCAAGCCAATCTCCCACTGCGCTTCTGCCCTAGGAGTTGTTTTGTGAAGCCAAAGGGGTTGGCTATGAAGGATGCTCTCTTCCTGGACCTTTCCTTCCTGCGCCTTCGGTGCCACTCAGCTCTGCCAAGGGTCAGCAGCTTCTTCCTCAGGATGGTTCGCAGCTCTGCCAAGGGTGGGCGTTGCTTCTTGTTGGCCTCTCTGAACTGCGTCTTGAGGGACTTCAGCTCCTGTCGGATCTTTCTGTCCTCTTCTCCAGTGTCCCGAACCTTTCCACAGCTAGGCTGACAATGATTGTCGTCATTGTTTGCAGCCTTCGGTCCACGTCTCCCTTCGCTGTTGCTTCTAGCACAGAGTTTGTGTCCTCATCAAACTGTTGCCAGACCGCCGTCTTGTAGGCCTGTGGCCATTTGACTCGAACCCTCTCCGGAGGGCTGTTCTGAGGGGTTGGTTGCGGCACTTGGAGGCTCCTGGCTCTATGGGGTATTTCCAGGCCTGGCTCCTCCTGCGTCTCACCAGGTTGGGTACCTGTGCGTTGTGGCACTCGCTCTCCCTCCAAACATCTCATCTGGGTCTGGTGAATCTTTAGGCCTCGGCTGTTCTTGCAGACCTTCCCACATCTGCACTTCATATTCGTTGTCGATTGTCCGTTGCCATTGTTCGTCAGCCTTAAGTCCATCAGATTGGGGTGCTCATCCTCCCCCCCTCTCGGGCATCTTTCCAGGGTATCTATCTTTGCATAATAATGTATGGGATTGGCCCCATTGGGGTCAACTTGCAATTAGATTGAGTGGAGGAAACATTCAGGACATTTAAGTTCCAAATACATCAGGTAGCATAAGTTACTTATTAATCTCCATTACATGACCAAATTTGGCAACTGACCAGAAATTGGGAGCGTTCTGGTTTCCAAATGTAGTACAAGCAATCTTAGATGTAATCTCTCAACACAAAATGAACTACTGTTTCTCAAGTTGCTAGAAGGACTGTCGTGGCATACTGTCATGAGACAATCGGATCTTAGATCAGCCAGTTAAATACTGTGTCCCCTTACAGTCTGGACCAACAGGTGTGAAGTCAAAATGTCACACAGCATTAAGTATAAGTATGAAATGTTTATTAAACACAAAACTACGCACTGACATGGAAGAGGTTAATCACTAATGGGCATCAAAACAGACACTGTATGTGTGAGTATGTAAGTGTGTTGGCGGTTTAATTTGATGTTTCGGCTTCACTGGAGTGACTCAAAGACAGTGTGCTGCTCTTCACTTGGCTGACAGAGCGTGGCTTGTGTGTGAGTGTGTGTGTGTCTTCCATACCCTTGGCCCTCAACAGTGTCTTTGTGTGTGCAGGAGTGTGTGCAGTACGTGCAGCATGTGGCCCGCATGCTGTACTCTTGACTGATCAGCGGGTGTGTATTTGAGTGTGTAAGTGTGTGTGTTGGCTAGATCCTTGGCTGCTCGCCTCCAGTGAGTCACCACTTGACAACTAGGCAGAGATAAAGAGGGAGAGGGATGGGGGAGCGAGAAGGACCAGAAGGTGGGGAGTCATGGAAGAGAAAAAATGAGTTGGAGGGAGACAGATGGAGAGAAAATGTAGGTGAGAAAATAAATGAACGGGAGATAGAGAGAAAGAGAGAGTGAAGGACAGAAAAAGGGGAGAAGGAGATATGGGATAAAATTAAATAAAAGGCCAGGATGTTAAAGCGAGGAGAAATGAGAGGGGAGAGAAGAGGGCAGATTAGAGAGGAGAAGAGGAGGGAGGAGAAGAGACTGAAGTGGAAGGTGCTCGGCAGCTCCCAGGAGCATCCTTAAACAAGGTACTGAATACTCAAACAGCAGCTTAGAGGAGATCATGCACGACTGTAGATCAGGGCAGCTCTGGTGTTTTTAGAGATTATTGGGGATTGGCCATAAAGTCTGGGACTGATTTCAAAGTGAACACATGAAAACAGACAAGATTGAGTGATCATAATAAGGAAAAATACATTAAACAACTTTGACCGTGTCGTACCGATTTCTTAACTGCAATGATTGGAAGGTTAATTTGATTCAGATCTCTCCCTGGTTTAAACATTTATCTTTGACAGGTCAGTTTATA